CCATCATCAGCAATATCAAATACGAAAACAGATTTTTATCTCGACTGAAGCATCTGTATAAGCATGTGTATATGAAATCGTTCCAGTGAATTGTCGATCCCAGCGCATGATATTCATTCAATTTTGCTCTAGATAGTCGGGCCTAGCGAAATCATCGAATGTTCACAAGTTATGATTACAGTTTATCTCTTTTGTTTTCGCTTTTGACTTGGGCTCGTTTTTTCTTTCTTTATCATAATCGCGATATTCATTTCGATGCGAATCTCGACTGTCACGCACGTAAAATACGAACAACGAAAAAAACACTTTCTTTTGAAACATTCTCAGTCGGGCACAGAGACGGGTCACTGAAATTATCCATAGAGTTCGTTACTTCCATAAATGTGTTTTTTACGGTCGCAATAAAAAAATGTAATTGGTATATTTGCAATTACAAATGCAAACCCATCGATTTCGTCTGCACCTAGCATACCAAATATGTTGGTCATAAAAACACGCAGTGTATTTCCCTCGGTTCATTTTTCGCACCGGTCAATCGTCTGCTGCTTATATGATTACGATTCACCAACTCGAAATGCCGCTTCCACTTTTTTTTCGTCTTCCACTTCGAATGCCATTCGAAATGGATTGATCAACGAAAATGTGAGTGAGTGTGCTCGCAAATCGTACGTGCGCCTAATGCTCGTCCAATTTGCATATATGAATTTTTCTTTCTTCGTTGCTGTTGTTTTTTTTTCGTTTTGTCGACGTGCTAAGTTAGCACTGCTAACCAAACATTTTTTTGTGTTTTGTTTCAAAAAAACAAAAACTTGTTTATCGATTTCATGCATGCATATTTTAATATTATTTAAATCAGACTTTTGAACTGCATACGCAAAATATATGGAAAATGGTACGCACGAACTTAATTAGAAATGAAGACACATATTATATCGACGAATGATTAAACATATATCAATCAGACAGTTTCAATGGTAATTTGTTAATTAGCAACATGATTTTCGCTTGATAACATCCCTTTTTATTCGCTTGGCTTGCCATTGGATCGACGGTTTACACACCACTTTTTTCGGGAGTAATTTACGTACGGCACGAGATTAAACATGATCGTAATAATAACAAATGTGTGGCCACCGTTTGTTGCTGCCATGATCGGACAAGCACCGATTACAGAGATTACACCGATTTGGAGGGAAATCCAAATCATATTACGTATTCATACTCTGCGACAAGATTGGCCAAAGTGCCTCCAAATGAAAGTTGCTTCGCGCTTTACGACGATGCATCGTTATGGAATGCTCGTTCATGTGCAGTTCTGTTTTTTGCGTGTCAGTTTTAACAACCAACGTGTTTTGCGATTGTGTCACAAATACCACAGCTGCATTGTATTTTATTGTTTCTTTTTTTTTGGACAGTTCAAAAAGAGCGAATAACCGGTGCTACATGACTTCGGTCACATATACGCACACCATTCCAAAGTTTGAAATCCAAACAATCGATCAAAGAGAGAACGAACGACTTCACTGGAGCAGAAAGCGGATATTTTGTTTGTTTTCATAATCAGTCGAACTGCTCAAGTTTGGTTTAGCTTTGGACTGAGTTTAAAATGAAAAAAAAAAAATGAAGAGAAAGCACGATGATGGTTGATCGTTTGGCTAGAAGAATTGCATACATTTGGGCGGACTGAAGAATGGTCATGATCGCGATGTCAATGAAATCGAGTTTATTTAGTTGCACTCTTCTTTTCTTGTATTTGAAGCAAAACAAAGCGATGAGTTTATAGATTCTCCCCTGTGTTTTCCATTCGTTAGCTAAAAGCGTCATCTCTCCCTTTGTTCTATCATTTTAACTATCTCTTGAATTTTCTTTTCGTCTTCATATTAATGAAGATTTCACTGATCGATTTCGATAAAGATAACTTCATTTTTCCTTTAAAATAAAAACGGTCATTGGTTTCGATTTTATAAAACAAAAGAGAATTTATTTTAAAAAAAAAAAAAGAATAACAGAAAAAATCAATTCGATGGGACGAATATGTACAAAAAAGGATGCTAAATTTCTAAACTGGGGCAAGTATTGGTTCCTCGATCATTCTATATACAAAATTCGCATGAATTTGTATGAATCTTATCTAAACTGTAACTAATTACATAATTGACTCTAGTCTTGGGTGGTTATAATAACGTCTTTCTTCATAGCTCTAATTTCTTTAAATCTACAGTCCTATCATTAAAATGTATCCCGTTTTCAAGTTTCACTGGTGATGAACCACGTCGGTTGTCATGGTCATGTTGAATGTTATCAACACAGAGTGCATTAAAAATCTCTTCATTGCAGTCGGTTGATTTAGAATTTGGCTAGTTTTTTTCTTCCTTAATTACCACAATTAAATAAACTCTTTGCTAAACAATCTATCTACATTTATTTGTCATTCCGACTGAATGACTTATTTGTGTATGAGTTAGGCTGCCGTTGCATTCGCATATACGATGGTAATATTTTTTGCAGTAGCAGCAGCTGCGACCGTTTCCACTACTTCTGCAACGTGTGCGACTTTTGCGGTTTTGGCAGCTGATCGTTCTGCACGAACGACATCTTCTTGTAACCACAGCTCCTTGATTAAATCAGCACCTTTCTCGGCTACCATTACGGTTGGGGCGTGAATATTTCCACTTGGAATCGTTGGCACTAGGAAGATGGAAGATATGATTGAAATTTTCGCTCCGTTGATAAGCTAAATCGTAAGCTGGAGAAGATACTCACTGATACTAGCGTCGATTACACGAAGTCCACTCACACCATAAACCCGGAGTTGTGGATCGACAACAGCCCATGGATTCGTGGATGGGCCCATTTGTGCCGTACATGAATAGTGATAGATGGTCAATGTGTATTGTTTTACTGAAATGCGAAGAAAAAAATTAATTTTCTGTCATCAAATGAATCTAAATTGATGAATGAAAAAAGCGATTAAATTCGGCGAACTCTTACCGACACACTCCCAGTACTCGTCGGTCATGTGTGGCAAATGTTTGCAATTTGGCAACGGTTTCGAATGGTAACGTGATCCGAATCGTTTCAATGCCTGCGTTTCCGAAACGGCAATGGCGGCTTTCACTCCTTCTCTCATGACGTGCACATCATCTGGATGTGTCAAGTAGTTGTGATACAGCAACGGGTATCTCAATGGATTTTTCGAAATGATCTTAATGAAACCACCTGAAATGAACCAAAATTAGAAATAAATGTTTCATTCCAATGATTTCCCGGAATATTTTCGAATCACTTACGACTTCTTGGTCTCAAAATCATAGGGAAAATGCCATAAACGTCCTTGTTTTCCAATTCCTTGTAGATTTCATTATAGAATTCCGGTTTAAGACCATGCGCATTTTTGATTGCTGGATCCGACGGTGTTGAACCACTCGTGAAGAATAGATTCATATCCGGCCAATCGTCTGAATGATTTGCGTATTTTGTATTAATAAATGAGGTAACTTCCAAACCAATACTACTGGTCAGTGGGCCATCTTCGGTGATTGCATATCGAACGGCTGAGTTCATGTTAAACATTCGACTGAACAGGAAACTGACTTTGGGATCGATTCTAAATGCCAAACCACCGATAGCAAAGTGATCCTGCAAATTGCGTCCAACACCCGGCGAATCATGAATAACTGGGATTCCGACTTTTTCCAAGTCAGATTTTGGTCCGATTCCCGACAACATGAGTAAATGTGGGCTTTTGACGTTAAAAATAGATAATAAAAGTTATATAATATATAGCAGGCTGATTCAAAATTAAAATAGAATACCTGTTGATTGCTCCAGCTGACAAAATGACTTCACGCTTCGCGTAAACCGCTTGCTTCACTCCATTTCGAATGAATTCAATACCGAGAGCTCGTTTTGATTCTTCATCAAAAATCACTTTTGTCACATGCGCGAAAAGTGCTACGTGCAAATTCTTGCGTAGACGCACTGGCCGCAAGAATGCCTTGGCATCACTGCAACGAGCACCACGACGCATTGTAAATTGATAGAAAGAAAATCCAGTTTGTTGTTCTCCATTCACATCGACAATGTCATAACCCAATTCTTCACCGGCTTGCAAAAAGGCCATCCCCAATGGCGTATTGTACGGAGAATCTTGGACGGTGAGATAGCCGCCTGAAAATATGGGATTTTTTGTTATTCAATCATTCAAAGAAAAATGTGACCAAACTGTGTCTTGATAAGAAACGCACCTTTTCCATGGTATCGTGAATTTTTGGCCAAGTATGGATTGCGTTGATCCTCCGATTTACGGAAGTATGGCAAAACATCTTCATAGCTCCATCCTGGATTGCCCAACGATTCCCATTGATCGTAGTCTCGACGATTGCCTCGAATGTACAGCATGGTATTGAGGACCTGAAAAAGATTTAAACAAGAATTTACTAACCCGTTGCTTGAATAGTTCAGAGTTTCCAACAATTTCGAAAACGATTTTCATAAAAAAAAAACTTACCGATGAACCACCAATGACTTTGCCTCTAGTCCAACAGCATCGATTGTCTTTCATCGCTTGGCATGCCGTTGACTGTGGTTGAGTTCTGTAATTGAAAAAGCACAATTATAACGTTAAACTACATCGAAAAAAGAGTAAATTTGAAAGGTTTTCAGTTACAAAACAAGTGGCCTATGTGCTCTATTGTGAATAATATTCGGTTGAGCCAATGCATTCCGGTCGAAGCTCAATGCTGTTCGATAGATGAACCGTTTTGGATTAAACGAATCCATTCAAAAGAACGAGAGAAAAATGTGTTACATACATAAACCATGTGTATGTGTTGCTATTTCAACAGTCAGAAATGCCAACACTCGACACATTAGTATGCATTCATTGTAATGATCTTCTCTGTCCATTTACATCGCCAACACACTCACATACACACGAGCCGTAGTGATTGCGCCACTAGCCGGCTCGTCTACCAATACGAAATCGGTAAGAAGGAAAACGATACATGAAATCGGCTAAAAATCTATAAAAACTGGAAGCGAGGTGGTAATTTGGTCAGTCATAAATTAGAGTTCAAACGAGTAACTCTATTGATGCTCGAAACGTGGCCATAATGAACAAATAAACATTGCCGCAGTTGGTATGCCAAACATTAAATCTCAAAAACTCTTGACCAAACAAAGAAATCACGTGTGCTTTTTTCTCTTTGACTGAGTGCAAAGCTTCGAGTACAAACGCTAAAGTCATGCAGCTACGAGATTTGTGCGACCAATCCATTTAAATCCTACGTGCGAATCGATTTGTACACCTGCTTCGTTGTATGCGATTTCATACATTGAATACGAACCATAGCATTCCGGTCGATACAAGCGCTCATTTGATTGTTATTAGCTATTGCCACATTGCCTTCGCACCATGTTGCCATTGTTTGTGCTGTACCAATTTGTTGCCCATTAAATAAACAAAACATAGAGAGAATTACATAAAAAAAATAACACGAAGAAGAGCGTCTACATGCCCACACTGAGACTGAGAGAGACACACACAGAAAATGACGAGAAAAAAACACTTAATAATTACACCAATTTATTTTGATAAATTTTTTGTTTGAATTGTCTTATTTTCTATTTAAATGCTGAAAATTCTTTTTCCGTTTAATGATTCTAGTCTTGAAATAAATAAATTAAACTATCTTTATTTCACATTCAATTAGTAAGCTCCATTCATTTTCTGGTCTGACACACACACACACACACACACACACACACGCGCGCATTCAAGTAGGGTTTGGCTTCGTAGTAAAAAATAGAAAAAGAATCAAATAAGCGGTCAGACCATCTCAATCGGAATACATAATGGTAATAAATAAAAGCTGCTATCTAATTCAAATTTATATGCATTTATCCAAAACTCGTTGATTCTGTTTGATTTCCAAGCGGCTTCAGTCTTTGGACATTGTCGTATCGTCGATAACGGAATATTTCGTCACGTAGCCAAAGAGCTTTAACCATATCCGCGCCCTTTTCTGCGATCATTATCACCGGAGCATAGATATTGCCATTTGTTATCGTTGGCATGACTGAAGCGTCGATCACACGAAGCCCCTTAATACCGTAGACACGTAGTTGAGCGTCAACAACCGCTTCGTGATCTGAAGCTGGTCCCATTTTCGTTGTGCCCGACATATGGTAAATTGTCATTGTGTATTGTCGAATGAAGCATTCCCAGTATTCGTCGGTGAACATCGGCAAATGTCGACAGTTTGGCACTTGACGATGATGGAATTTGGCGCCGAATAATTTTTTCAATGAATCCGTTTCACCGAACGCAACGGCCAGTTTAACACCTTCACGCATTACATTAACATCGTCTGGGTGTGTCAAGTAATTGTGATACAACAACGGATACCGAAGTGGATTTCTCGAGTGTAATTTTATGAAGCCACGGCTTTTCGGTCGCAAAATCATCGGCAAAATACTGAATGTGTCTTGAGTAACCAAATCACCAAAAACGTAGTTGAAATATTCTTTCTTCAGACCGTGGGCAATTTTCGCTTGTTGATCGGCAAATAATGAGGCACTTGTCATCATAAAGTTCATATCGGGCCAGTCGTCCGATTGATTTGCATATTTCGTATTGAGAAAACCAACCGTTTCCAATCCGATGCTGCTCGTCAACGGGCCATTTTCGGTGATTGCGTAGCGAAGTGCCGCATTCAAATTGATGAGACGATTCGTTTTAATGCCAACGGGTTTTTCAATTGTCCAACCCAAGCCACCGATTGCAATGTGATCTTGTAAATTGCGACCGACTCCTTCGAGATCATGAACTACTCGTACGCCGACTGATTCGAGATCTCTTCGAGGTCCAATTCCGGAATTGAGTAAAATATGCGGTGATCCAATCGCACCAGACGTTAAAATCACTTCTCGTTTAGCGTAAACGGCACGTTTGATACCGTCTCTGATGAACTCAACTCCATAGGCTCGCTTTGTTACGGGATCAACTAGCACCCGTGTTGCATGCGAAAAAAGTGCAACGTGCAAATTCTTTCGCAGTCGAACCGGGCGTAAGAAGGCTTTCGCTGCACTGCATCTCGATCCTCGACGCATATTGAACTGATAAAATGCGAATCCAGTTTGCTGTTCACCATTCACATCCACCATATCGTAGCCAAATTCCTGGGCAGCTTGCAAAAATCCAATACCGATTGGCGTATTGTAAGGAGCGTCTTGGACTGTGAGCGGTCCACCTAAATAAATGAATGTGGTGATTAGATTTTTTTCCGGAAATATTTTTCATGTTGGAACAATTGGATGAAGAATGACTCGAGTTAAAGCTTCAAACCCAAAATTCGACTTAAATTTCTAAAACGTCCAATTTTGGCGCATTCCTATACATACCAGTTCCATGTTGACGTTTATTCCGTGCCAGGTATGGATTGCGTTGATCTTCGGATTTGCGAAAATATGGTAAAATATCTTCATATCCCCAGCCTGGATTGCCAAACGATTCCCATTGATCGAAATCTCGTTTGTTGCCCCGAATATACAGCATTGTGTTCAAAACGCTCGATCCACCTAGCACCTTGCCGCGTGTCCAACAGCAGCGATTATCTTGCATCGCTTGGCACGCTGTCGGCTGTGGCTGTGATCTAAATATTTTGACAATTGATTTAATAATTTCGATGAAATCTAAACAACAAGAACAATCAACAACCATCCAGGCCATAAAGTACCCCGCAAAGAAATGAATCAAGAGACAGTGCTGAAACAAAAATATTAGTTCGAACAACGAGAAGAAGTACGGAAAAACAGATACAATCACAAATTACAGTTGTGTGAAAATGGAGAAATCAAACCAGAGCTACGAATGAAAAAAAGACAAAAATACACGAGACAGGTAGTAGACAACACTTCATTTGTTTGAAGCCAATTAAATCGGCGGTCGGATGCAACGATAGAAAAAGAAATGTGATTAATCATACATAAATTGTTATTAAAGTCTACTACATCTACAATAGAGTCAATCATAATTATTCACACGTTAGTCGGTTTCTTTCCTCATGATGATGATGATTGTGCCGAGTCATTCAGTACAAATCCGATTCGGCTTATGTCGAATCAAACGTTTTAATGGCATTATTTATTTGAAATGAGTTGAATGCCGGCTGCTGTTTGCTGCAATGAATGAAATTATAGAAAACACAACAGAAGAAAAGAAAAAAAAATCAATCATAACCGAACCGAGCCGTTCAGCTGTGGTTTCAGTTTGAATAACAATTTGAAGATGAATAGAGAAAAATTGAGCCCACACCAACACCACCATGACGACGCTACATCCAATTTTAAGATTGATGCCTATCAGATGCTCAACCAGAGATTGAATCTATTAGCTTTTACTAACTACTTAAAGGTTAACTACCGCTTATTATTATATAATTTAATTCAGAGTATTTCGATAAATCATCGAATCAAACAGAATAAAATGAACAAAGTTTTATTGAAAAAATGAGTCGATGCGCTCGTTACATAAACCGAACGGTTAAGTTCGCATTAAACAGTTTATCGCGTAATCGATAAGGCTGATATTTTTTTCTAGAATCATAGCATTAAATTGGTGTTGAGAGCATTCGAGCGCACCAAATAACGGTTCCATATTAATTTTTTTTTTCACTGCGAATATATTTTGCAAACGAAAGCAAAGAAAACAATGCAATTTTCACTTTCATTCGTGTGATCTTAACACACCGTCACAGTCATTCATTATTACGGTCGTCGTATGGAATGAATTAAAGCGAATCATCGCATAATGTGGTGTGTGCGTGTGTCTCTACCGAAACCGACGAATGAAGAAATCAAAAAGCAACACGCATATTTAATTTGGTTTGATGATGAATTTGATTACATTTTTAGTGTGTGTGTGTGTGTGTGTGTGCATAACACATTGGTTGCGCTTTTACAGAATAACGATTGGGTCATTTGCTAACCGATCGAAACACAACCAGTCAAATTGATTAATTCATTCTGATTGATATCGTTGAAAAGCCATAAAATTGCATACCCTCATCGAATGAATCACAACGAAGAACAATATCAAGATTGAAATTATCAGGTTCAGACGCCGTTCCAAATTGCTTGCTTTTCATCTCTAGCACCAATGCTTACACACATTCCTGAAGCATGCATGTGCTCGCACACGCTTGTACGATAATTATGTGAAAATTCCTATTATTATTCAATTTATGTATGAGCATTTGGAATGCAAACACGCTTGTGTTGTTGGCATCGTGCGTTAGCGCGCCGCTGGATTACACAGGGTAATTTACTGAAAAAAACCATCCAACAACATTATTAGACGAAATGATTTAATTTCGCACTGAAGTCGTGAGAAAGCATAACCCCACCCCAAGAGCACACTCAACGTGATAATAACGAATATTATTTTTAAAAAAAGCCTGGTTAAAGCACACAGACTCACGTAAGAACACTTTGAAATCAGATTTTGGCTTCGAGTGTGCTATACACACACGTTCGTTGATTTAATTAAATTTTCCGCGAAAATTCGAGCACCGTCTTGATAATGCAATTATTTCTGACTATTAAAATTCATATGTTCAATTCCGTCGTAAGAAAATATTGTGCGCGGTTTTTTGAGTTTGAAAAAGAAACTGTGCTGAATTGGAAACGCAAGCGTGTGGAAAAGCAGTGAGGAAATGCGTATGTTGGTGCGCTTAAATTTGGTTCAGTGTTACTTTTAATCGTGTTAGACGGTCTTAAAACGGGCATGAAACTACAGTTTATGGATATGCTTTTATTCATTTATGAGCACAGGAATTCGGAAGCATGCGGAACGGTGTCTTGTTAACAATCAGCCGGTGTAGCACGAAAGTGAAAACTGAAATCGAGCGTAAAACCGGCAATTGCCGAATGTTGAATTTATTCTGGAAGCGTTCGATGAAGCATTCGACGCATTTTTAATCACTTTTCATTCATTTTGTTTTCGGTTAGTGTGGTTTCGTGCATTGAATTGAAAACCAAAATAAAATACCTTTCAGTGATCGAATTCATTTTTTAAACAGTTAAAACAACGAATACCGCAACAGTAGTAATTTCCTTCTTCACAATGACGAATGCTTATATTGTTTGGCGTATTTTGACGACCGCGAAAACAATCCTATACATTCGTCGGTTTTGAAATGTCAAAACACATATCTTCTTCGCTTTGTTTGTCGCTCAACAAAACAGTGTCAAAAAAATCTCTGTCAGATATATTGAATCACCGATTTTAACATTTGATTTGATTGTTTAACACTTTGAGCCATTGCAGAACAATACAAATTCATCGTGCGATTGAATGCAAGCTTCAGAAGCGGAAAAAATTTCATTTTTTTCCAGAGTTTTCATTGAATGTTTCGTAGGCTTTGCTAAGTTATAGTCATTGTTGTCGGACGGGATTAAATACGTGCGCTTACACATTAGGGGCCGGGTAGTACATCGATATACATAATGAATTCAATTGATTTCAACACATTTGAAGATGCGTACACTACATTTCAAAAGAAGCTGACTCATGTTAACCTCGACACTATGAAAGCCGAATTTAGTGTCATTTGTAAGCGGAAAGCAATCAAATTTGGCATCAATTTTCATTCACATAGCATGGCCGAAAAAAATTAATGAACCTCATATCAATCAAATGTCAGCCCATGCGTGCAACAAGTAGATGGAACACTTCCAAGAAGATGAAAATAATTGCATTTCATCAGAAAAAAGAGAACAATTTTCAATCGTTTTCGTGTTCAATTCATATATCTAGTCGCTATCCATCACTTTGAATAGTCTGTTCAGTTCTAGTGAACGATCGAATTCACCCATTTTTCCAACCGTTCAGTTCAAAGGCAGCGCAGGCAATAATTCAAAGGCCAAAATCCATTTCAAAGCATGTTATTCATATTGTTGTCACTTCGAAAATCGTCGCTTTACCTGACAAATTGTATTTAAAACTCAATAGACGGTGCGTTGTCATCGCCAACCATGCGATAGCCACACATTGTCACGTCTGTCCGATGCGATGGGAACCACGTTATCGATGAAAAATGTATTTCTGTTTTCATCTTCTTCTCATTTTTGAATCAAAGATATGAATTCATATGCAAATGTTCACTTTGAGGAAATAGAGACAAAATAAACGAAAAACAAACGTTTCAAATAGATATAGATTGTGTTATAATGAATTGGTTATCAACGCGATAGATAAATATCGATTGTGCAATTTCATTTGGTGTGATATTTCGTGTTTTATATGAAGTCTTTTCAAAATATGCCTCGTTATTAAAAATCTCTTACGAAATTCTCTTGTGTATTCGGATATTCTATGAATGAACCATGGAATTGGATGAGGTTAATCACGTTCATTACCATTAAATATGTTTTTGGTTGCATTGAATTTTGGTTTGTATTTTAGTCTAATAAATTTACGTAAAATTTAATCATAATTAGACACTTAATCGGCTTACAACCCAAATTTTGACCCAAGTTTTGTCACCGCTTCTTTTCTTCAACAATGGATAAAATGCTTCGAGCAATGCATGACTTCGACTTCTAATTACTTCTGCAATGGGTTTTGTTTTGGTTTTGTCCAAAGTGCGTGAATGTCACTCTAGACACACTCTTTTATATGTTTTGCGGTCATTTGTTAGCTACAACGTAATCGCACAAAACGCAACAGCTAGAAGTATAATAATGCAACATGAAAAATTATGTAAAAAATGAAATTAAATTTTCAACGACACCATTCACTTGGGAATGGTCATTTTTTTCACATCACATTCGTGTAAAAAAATGATTGAAAGCAAGGCAGGTAGAAATGTTGCGCAGGTAACTGTAACGGTAGCGATAATGGCATGGGAAAAATGTAGTTTTCGTCCACAAAAAACCACATAATTAGCTAAATGCCGACCTTGAGCCTATTTTTCTCCTTTTTTGCATTTGGCCGTTGTTTTGAGTACGATATTTGTGTCGTTGCTTTCGGTTTTCATTGTAATCACCATAAAATTGAATGTCAATCGCACGCTCGACCACATTGGCATTTCTATCCCAAATTTCGTTTTCAACTGCTTTCTTCACCTCGAAATTCCATTTTTCGTGTGATTCATTTGGAATTTTTCATTTCTTCTTTTGTTTCAACTTTGGAAGCATTTATTTTATGTTCCGCGATAGTATGACAGTGATTTGAATTGTAGCACCCACCGCATCGGCGGTCATTAAAAAACATCATTCAAAATATACAAGACTTTTTCACCATGACCGGTCACAGTGATGTCATATCACAACCGATTTGTTTGGTTTTTCTCGGTTTGACGTGTGTGTGTTTGGCATTTCGTCATCAATTTTAGTTATCTAATTTTATAACAATCTTCTTCTTTGCTATTGATTGAAAACTGAAAACAAAGAAAAGACCCACGAAACGCATTGGGCATCACAATGTTACGCAATTTATTCGACTTTCTTTCCGAATGGCTTGCAATGGCTTGCGTGTGGTTCGTCACACAACAAACACTAGCCAACCTGTTGAATAGCGCACCAACAAACCGATTTTCTTTTCGATCATTTTCGGGCAATTTTGATAGCTTTGATTCAATCGACACGATGACGCAAACACAAACGTACTTAACACAATGTGTATATTCAACCAATGAAAGCAGAAGCAATTCTTTTCAAACGGCGCAAACAGATTTTCAATTTACAGCAAACATTTTTTTGTTATTTTGTATGAAGGCACGAGAGAAAAAGTTGCGGTATTGAAAATCTCAAGATTATTTCATAAACATTTTAGCATGGCCATACATTTCTATCCGCTTTTATGGTTGAAAAAGAGAACTTGAACCAAAGCACAAAAAAAAACACCAGGCCGCATCCGGTATACATGAGAATTTTTTAGTAGTTTGCGTATGCGATTGCATTGAATTATCTATCAAGATAAGGATGGTATGATGATATAGCCACACTAATACTACCGATCGTAATCAATGATGTAACGGAACTGGACTGATTTCAGCACATTTCGTACACGCAAAATTTATGGGAAAGACCGCACACATTTATTCATGTATTTCACAATTTCAAATGACGCCGACGAGGTGCCACTCTCAATGAATATTGCCCATCAATGACTGTGTCTGTCACACAAAGACTTTGTGTCATATTGAAAATAGGCTATAGTAAAAATTCGCATCAATGAAAATGTACACATGAATTTTACGCACTTTTCTTATCACGTTTAAATCAACAAAACAAACAGTAAATGTTTGCAATAAAAATTGACAATTCGATGTAAAAAAAAAACATGAATTGCACATGAAGCAAAATGAGAAGAATGAAGGAGAATACGGTGTAGAAATGTAAATGTTAAATATCATGCTCTATAAAAACCGCAAATATACGAATTAAATGATGTAATTTGGAGCTTATCTCGCGGTTGCCTAATCGCTGTAAACGTGTTTGTAATGAGATCTTAATTTGAGCTATTAGAAAGTGTTGTTTCGTCTTCACATTTCGCACTTTATCTGAGCGCATCTGAAAAATGTGTATTATTATGTTAACAATTGCTGATCAAATTTGGCATGAACAAGCAAACACGTGGATGCGAAGGTGGTGTTGAGTCGGTGCGTCCAAAATAAGCATAAAATTTCGCCAAACAAAGAAACGAGATGCTAACCATTGGCTAGATATCGATAAAATAAAATTAGGAACGATTTGTCATTGTGCTAAGTGCCTATAATTCTGACAAATGTGACGTGTTCCTTTCCCAATGCATCAAAAGTAGCTGATGTTATGTGACGATCGTTGGTCGACCAACGGAATTTTACTTTCATATTATCTGTCATTTATGTGATTTGAACAGATACGGACATTTTTTTTTATCATAGAGAGAAAAAAGAAATCAAATTAATCGCAACCAATCGAATTACATAATTTTGCCGAAAAAAAGTAAGCAAACGAGTTTTTGAATTTCGGAAATGTGCCATTCATCAATTCAAGCCAGCAAAATGAAAGTAACCGCCCGTCTTGCATCAGGAAAGAAAGAAAATTTGAACGATTTGGATACTGCTTGTTTTATAAATCGAAGTTTCGAGTATAGATATGAAGAAGTAGCCTTGACATCGGGTTGATTGGCTCTCATTAAATAATTGCCCGAAATGAATTTGCAAACATTTATCTCGGCTGCAAATGTATAAGCAGGTTGTTTATTGATGCTGCTCATTTGAAAGAGATAATAAAAACAACACAATAACGTAATAGTACATAGTAATGAGTGTGTGTGTGTGTGTGTGTGTTGGCTGTGGTGTAAATTGAGAGCAAATCACTTGACCATCGAAACATTTATGGCATATGCTCCCACTTAAGCCGTCCATTTTAAAATGGAAATTTGAATCGAAATGTTTCGAAAGACGAAAGTTTCAGATATCCAATCGATCTGAATCGAGTTAATGAACAAAATCCCTCCAAAATCGCATTGTTCCGTGATTGAGTGGTGGAAATGAAAGTAAAAATGCATGCTTTTTCAATGAACTTGGACCCATCGCATTAATCGTTGTTTAAATAGAATAGTTTCACCAAGCTAAAAACGAAGGTATGTTTCATAAACGCAAAACGACAGAGACAAACGTCATTCTTGGTTTACAAAGTGTCGGCACTGTGTTGCACACACAAACAAATGACAAAACATGAATGCAAGCATAAAACAACAGCAACAACAACAACCGATGCATCATTTTGTATTTGACTGAAAAAATGATTGGTGAATTGCATATAATTTACAAAATGTTTCATTTTCGCAGCATAGGCACACATACACATATGGGTACAAAATTGGGTATGAAAATGGCTTTTAATGTGGTGACTTATGTTTGTTGAATCGAACTGAATTGCCATACCTCTCTCTTTCGCTATCCATCTATCTCTCAATAATATACCACATAAACCCGTGTGTCGAAAGACACAATTCGAAATGTTCCGGTAATTGTGTACTTGTTGTTGCAATCACAGCCACAAACAGAAGAGAGAGAAAAAAAAACAATATTATAACAAAAATGCGGGCTTTGCTGCACATTCGTTCGGTGCTGTTGTTGTCGATGTAGTTGTACATCGCTTTATGTCGTTGCTATCACAGCTCGAGATTATCTCATTGGGAATTGTATAAGAGATTCGCCTATTCCATTCATTTCGTTTCATTCCTTGTTTATTGTCATAATTTGCAAACTTTTATACATGCATTCGTTGAAAATCTTTCTTTTTCACTTCTAACCTACGCAGCAGTAGCATGTCATCTAATGTTCAGCTGCTGGATAGTTCAGATGCGATGGTGAAAGAATTACCGCATCGAATTATATGTGGCTTCGCACACAGTCAAATGACCATGACCACTTTGAATGAGTCGAATTTTTTTTTTAGCGCGCAGTAGTTTGATTCGTTTTTCAACGATTCACTGGACCTTTTATTGTTTCTTTTGGAAATTTACGCACAAAACGATGGCATTTTGATTGAATTTAAATAAGAGCAACACTGTTATGACTTTGATTTTGTTTAGTAAATTTCATAATTTCGATTAAAATAGTGATTTATGTGAGAGAAATATATGTGAATATGTTGATGATAAATCGAACAGATACTAGATGATGAGCTAAAGACGATTATATTATTCACAATAAGACAAAGAAATATGAAAGATAAGAGACAAAACACTCAGAGAATAAGTTACCAAATAACTCAGTTACCTATACTTCCAATCCAATTTACTCTTGTGCAAGTAGAGCGATAAAATTGGCACGTCAGATATCTCAGTTTCATGTCCGCCCGCCTCAAGCAGTAACACTTTCCAACTACTGATCTCACTTAATCGATTTGCCAGCACCGAACCCGCTGACCCTCCTCCTACTATAATGAAGTCGTACTCGGGATCGATTTGTTTTACATTGAATGGACGATTTTCGGGATCGAAAAAGTCATAATTGTAATAAACGAGCGAAGCGATCAGAACAGGCAAAATGGAAATCTTTCCAACTCCTATGATGGCGGTGGCTGCTTTCATCGCAAGTGCAATGGTTGCTGTGAGTTTGCCGGCACCAACTACAACCGGCCCAATTATTGGCGTTGCTTTTAATAATGTGGTGCCTATTCCGGTAACTGCAGCGGCTTTCGCTGCAACAACCTTCCCCGCTGTTCCCACAACAGCAGGAACCACCTATGAAATGGGCAAAATATTTCATTAGAAAAAATTCACTTCAATTTAAATTTATAACATTTCAAATGCTTTTAAAAGATTTGAATGTTGTTTTGAGCTGACAATTTTTTGAAAGAAAAATTTTCCAACTTTTTCTGGTTTTGAAATTCCAAGTGAATCGAAAAAAAATTGTTTACACTAAATGTTTTCTAAGGAAAACACGATTTTCTGCGACTCACCTTTGTTGCAACTCCCGAAACAACGGCTTTTGCCGCGCCTGAGACCACAGTCGAAGCGACCGATTTCACAGCTGATTTCACAGCCGATGTGGCCACCGACGAAGCAGCCCCAGCCACAGCTGGAATGGCGGCTTTAGCAGCGCTAGCGCTGGCCGAAGCCAAAAAATGAATCACCATCTTTATGTCACGGAAATTAAAACTGTCAATAAATTATTCCTAGTTGGCCGATTAACACGTATCAATCTGTGTCTTCACCGCAAAAATACGTCAAAAATAATGTCTTCACTTCTATCGATTTTCCTTTTCTTTTCGATTGCCATGCATTATCGCTTTCTTTCGCGAAATTGTTGCACGTTCATGTGTTTTTGTGCATGGTCTTTCTGTCACCGATTATGCCAATGTAATTTACTGTTGGTTTTCACGCAGACGCTCTTCACTTTCATTAGTTTTCATTAATTCGATAATCGTTTTTTTTGCTACGTGCAATATTATAATTGATATTGAACAATTACCGTTTCACTTCAAACTACTTCAAGCGGACATTTATCGAATTTGAACCGAATCAATGATCGATTATAGCGATCAAGTTGTGTTTCTATTATTTTTTCTATGGTGTTGAACAACAGTTGACTTGTTATGTTACGTCCCACTTTTTTTTTATTCAATAAACACTGTGCGCATTCGATCGATCAATCTCCGGATTGTTAAAAGCCACTCTTGTTTCTGTGTTTTTTTTCTGCCGTCAATGCATTCAATGCAAATAGCCAAACAGTAGTCAATCGCTGTAGCACAAACACATACACACAAATACAATGTAAATATTTGTTCAATTCACTTGATTTGAAATGCGGCACTCTTGAATCGCAATATCCAATGAAAATAACTACAATCGAGCAAACCGAAATGCAAACACGTCTAATCACTGATTAGCTCTTTGAATTTATCCTCATGTCGATAGATGAGCTCATTGCATTTTAATTAACCATCTACACCACGATATCCACTCCAGACACAAAGTAGATGTCATTCAACAACAAATTGATATTCATTCACTTTCGCGCGATATTTCCAATGAAATTATTTTATTGCGTTCATTAAATAGAGAAATTCCAACATTGGATAGGCTTAAATTTTACGACGTGAAATATAAAAATTGAAAAAAAAAAGATTCAACCAAACTCAAAACCAAAAAAAAAGAAATGGAAAAAGTGCACAAACACACAATCGCAAACAGGCGTGCTCACGAACGTTTTTCTGCCGTAATATAGGAAATTGAATGAAATAATCGTTAACACACGCGATACGATTTCGAATAACTCTTGGGCGCAACTCTACGTGCAACTACATGCGCTCATGGTGAATAAATGAAACGAACGAACGAACAAAAAAAAACTTCCATCAAAATAACTTTTTCAACTGCTCTGTAGCAGTGATCAAAACCGACTGTTTACCAATTGTTTTGAGTATCAGCCAAACCAAACAATGCTTCACCATCGGTCTCTCATTCACCACAACACAAACACACACAGAGAGAGTTAACTTATAGACATTCGCAATCCACTTGGCTCGCAGCATTTCATTCGAAAAAGTAAAACACAATGCCAATCCAAAGATGAACGAAAGAAAGAGTGAGCGAAATGATATGAGTCGCACCAAAACAACTTTCTCCACCAAAGCCAAGGTATATGAAGTGTTTGGCATACACACAACCGTACATGGGCCGCATGGCTCACCACGCGTGCATCTGAGCATTTAGCATTCAACGACGACCAAAAGTGAATACGTGACGTTTTGTTCAAACATCGGCGGCCAAGTTTGTATGAGTGTGTGTTGCGCTTCCACACACGAAAAAAAGCTATAGGGCACTCTGCCACATTTTTTTATGGACGAAAAGTTCCGAGATAAAAAAAAATAGCAACGCAACAATATATTGATTGTATACCCATTTGGTTGTCATTGTATGACGCGCGCCCAAGCAACAACAGCAACCCATCGTCTAAATGCAAATGTTATCTTTGCACAATCATATGATAACCGTTACCATGTTTATGACCATTATGTTACCGAACCCTACGCTTCGTCTCTTCTCTTTTCTTCTCAAAATCTTGTATGCGTTTTTTTTCTCTTTATCGCAAGTAAAATGATTCCAATGTAAATATGCGCGGAGGAAAAAAGCTATCATATATGTAACCAAGATAATATGCGTAATCGTGTCTCATTTCGACGGACGGTGACTTACTTTATATGGCTGAATTAAATAAGATATTGTTGTGATCATCGAGAAAGAGTGAGAGAGAGAGAGAAATAGACATTGGGCTTAGCTAATGGAAAACATTCGACAACTTATGACTTCTTCACTTATTAATTCAATTATTACTTTTTTTTCGCCCATTTTTGGTTGACACTAGATGAAAAAATGTATGTTTCCGGTGTTTATGGCATTGGTAAATTACCGCCTGCATTCTCCACACTCTAAATCAACGCAACTTGTTAATTAATGAGAAACAAAAATTTATCGATTTGTTAATTTACATTCGGCTAAAATATGATATTTGTTGAACGCCCTTTAAAAGGTCAGATTTAATGGCCAATTTCATCGTTAACCAAAAGAACATTGTTATTTAATTTGACATTCTTGAAGAGAAGATAAAAAAAAGTGCCGAGATTTTCACATTATGTAGTAATTAGTATAAAGAAAGTGGGACACGATTTAATGAAATACGGAAATTCGAGAGAAACAACCATCAATTGCATAATTTTGATAATGATCGTGACGATAAAACTTTCGGAGTGCTGTGAAAAAGCGTGCAGAAAAAGCGCATAAATGTATTTGAATGCAAATTAAAATGGGTTACGAAAAGATGAAAGCAGTCCAAATCGAAGACGATACTATGAATGCTAAAGTCCAGCGGCTATAAAAGAAATAAACACGAGGCACATGGCTTCAAATTTGATCGACTCGCTTGCCATTTTTTGCATTTTCTGTTTTGACACACAAAGGAAAAAAAAATAACGAAATATTATGCAATTTCTATGCTCATCGATTTAAATTGTAAATTTTATCTGAATTGAATAATATATTCATGTGTTTTCTTTTTTTCTTACAGGTATGATGCTCACGAACTGATTTAATTCCAATATTTCACAACAGTGATAACGTGTTAAGTACTCAATGGTTCGGCCTAAGCATTTGAATATCTATAAATAATAATAGGCATTTTCACTTTTATTTGAATGAACCGAAGGAGAGGGAGAAAAATCGAATATTCCGTAAGTTTGGATATCACATTTCGGCCATTTCTATGTAAATGCCGGAATCGCTTATTACGTGAACCACGAACACGCGTGGTGGTAGATGATGCATGTTTATGGATGAGGTGGCAAATACATTACCTTGAATTGCACTCAGATTTGATTCAAATTGCAAAAAAATTGCCCAATATAGGCCATTTGTAAATTCTTTGCGAACAAAAAAAAATTACGTGACTTCTTTTTTATGGTTTTTTTTGAAGTTCGTGAATCAGAGCATGCTCTACGAAAAGCAACCAAGCTAAAGAGCTTTCAATTAGGCTTTTTGGCACATAAACTCCATTGAAAATTGCTGGAGTGCCGTAATATTCATTAATGTAGGCCCATCGCTTCAGGTGGTGTTGACACAGTAGCATAAAATTGATGTAAAACAAGCTCTTGGCACTGCCAATTTGGCATTAACATTTAAAGAATGTTTTTTCACAACAATAATTATCATTTTCAAAAGCGTATAGCAGTTTATGATGGCAAACACTTGTGGATAGCATCTGATCTATTAAACATAAATGATTTATGGATTCATTCAGAGTGAACGACCAATCGTCCATTACAATCGTTCCAAACTTGAATATTTCGCACATTCTCCAGTTCCTGTCGGATTACATACGTTCGAGAAAGGTGTGCTTTACATAAACACTGAATGGAACAAGAACCGGTGTCCAACATGCAAAATTACAAAAGATTGCATAACTTAGCGTAAGAAAGCCGAAATTTGAGCTGAATACAAAGCATTTATGGCATGAGATTGTCTTCTTGTAAAAATGCACCAAGTGAAATGTGGTACCTTTTCAACATGGGACCATGTTGTTATGTAACAATACAAAATTGACAGATTTGACTTTTGTCCGGCGAATCATATGAATGGTAAAACGAAGAAGTTATAAAGTCCGATGAACCTTTCTATTCGCAGGCTGTCGAAGCAATCAAAATGCCAGTATGACGTCGAATAAACCTATAAAATTGACCATAAAATTCATTTCACATATATTCGCTACCTCTAAGAGCCAGTCAATCAAATTGTATTGAATAACAGTCGTTAAATGATAATATTTCCAATTAATAGCTGATATTGTTCTTTGTGCTCTACAAAATATCACTTCAAATGCCTATAATCACCCATTGAGCGATGGAATGCCCAACCAAATCAATTTTAAACAGCTAAATTACGTGTTAACAAATTTGAATAAGATATTGATTGATTGTAAGCACTTGAGAATCAAATCAATCAATTGATAAAATATAATTCGATTTTATCTGTTCTTCGTTTCGTTTTGTGTCTATTTATTTTGAATCTTTTCAATTTGATACAATATAAGTAGTTCAGTACATTTTATTTGAATTGTTTAAGATTTGGTATGGATTACCGACACATATAATACATTTTGGGTATGTGTTTCGAGTAAAATGGCTTATTGTCAAGATTAGAATCGTGCTATAACAATATGATTTCACGTGATTTTGATTTGAATCAGCTTAAAAACAAATAATACATGAAGTAACACTGAATCATTTGAGGGTAAACCATCAAAGTTCTTCCTTTATTTGATGTTTTTCCCATTTTTGCTTGATGAACTCAGCTACTTTTTCTCCAATCATAACCGTTGCCGCATTTGTATTTCCGCTGACTATCTTCGGCATTCTGAGAAATAGAAATAAAATTGCAAATTGTAACAAATTTGAACCAATTGATTCAATTTCGAATGTCATTAAATCGTTGGTTAAAGATCTGAAGAATAAACTTACATGCTTGCATCAGCCACTCTCAACCCGTTGACTCCATGAACATTAAGTTGACCATCAACAACGCTACCTTCATCATCACTTGGGCTTCCCATTTTGCAAGTGCCAACGGGATGATAAACAGTTATCGACAAATGACGCACATAGCATTCCCAAAATGTGTCTGCGTTTCTTGGGAATCGATCACATTCCTTCAGTTCGAAATTCACAATTTCGCCTTCATGCTCTTTGAATATTTTCGTTTCCGTTAGTTTATCGATAATTTTCATGGCTCGAACCAGTGTTTTAACATCATCAATTTCTTTCAAATAATTTGTATGAATTTTCGGTGAATCAAAGGGTTTCTTGCTTCGTAACGTAATTGAACCGTGTGATTTGGGGTTAAGCAAAATCATAAGCACTAAAAGTGTATCGGCTTCCAAATTAGCCGCCACAACAGCATCAATAATGTGTTGTTTGTAGTTGAACAGACTCAAAAGAAATTTCATTGAATCCGTTGACTGTTTCGATATTAGATAATGCATCACCTGAATATCCGGGTACAGCGTATCGTTTAACGTACTGAAAAAGCCCATATAATCAACCGAACCAAGATTTGAAAACATTCCACTTCGATTCAAAAGGTAGCTCATAAAATTATCGGCCAAAAATTGATAAGTAGGTGATTGTGCCGTTGATTTGTGAAGCGAAAAAATGTACGGTAACATAATATGGTCTTGTAAATTGCGACCAACACCCGGCAGCGATTGAATTATTTCAATTTGATGTGGTGTTAGTTGATCTGTTGGCCCAATTCCAGAGAGCATAAGCAATTGAGGCGTATTCACCGCTCCTGCTGATACAATAACTTCCTTTCGAACATTTGCGACAATCGTTTTTTGCTCCGGCAAACGAGTGAACTCAACGCCGCTCACTTGTTTGTTCGCTTTGTTCACGATTATTCGACTGACATGGGCCATTTTGATGACATGCAAATTATTGCGTTTGCCAATCAATTCGGAGCGCAAAAATGCCTTGGCCGAACTAGACCGTGTACCTTTTGTCAAAATGCCCTTTGCACGAGCGAAACCAATAAATGAATCATCGTACAGATCATCCAAATGTTTGAAACCTAAACTTTCGTAGAATTGTTGCAGCATTGATTTTATGTTTTCATCGAAGTCTGTTGTTGGATAATTTTCAATGTTAAGCGATGCTTCATTTGGCGACAGATTGCTTTCAAACTTTTGGAAATACGGTAAAACTGAGTCCCAACTCCAATCAGCACCGCCTGCTGTCTGCCAGTGCACATTATAGTCACGTCGATTGCCCCGCACGTACTGTGAAAGTATGTAATATAAAATAATAGGTATAAATATGTACTATGTGATCCGAAACTCATTCACCAGAAGTGCGTTGATTGAAGACGAGCCACCCAGCATCTTTCCACGTGGCCAAAACGATTGGTGATTATTCAAAGCCAAACCACCTGTGCTGCATGGTTCGCTAAAATAACGCCAATCATAGCTGGAATTTTGCAGTGTGACCGTAAAACCGGGAATCTAAATGGCAAGAGAATGCATTGTAACTCGGTCGCATGTGAATGAAATTATCAACAAAAAAAAAAACAAATCAATATAGAATCTTGTACGTTCAATATTTACATGGCAAGCAATTTATATGACATAGTCGCATATCAACTATATGAGCAATGATAAAAACTTTATTGATAGTTATTAAATTCGTGCAGTATAAAAAATGGATGGAATATGGAAAA